CGGCAGCATGAGGCGGCTAAGCTCGGCTGTGGCAGGCGAGGAGTAGCGAGCGACGACAGCGTCGTACAGGGCCTTAGCGGATTTGCAGTCGCCAAAATGCTCTAGCTCAGCTAACGGCAGGTGACTGCGAATGGCTAGGCGAGCAGCTGCGTCACGAGTCTGCCAGTGGGAACGAACACTAAGCTCAGCTGTGGCAGGAGGGGCAGGCGCAGCACCAGACGCGTAATCATAGAGCGACACATGCTCCTTGCTATCGCTCAGGAGGAACAGCTGCAGGTCATCTAGCCAAGCGGTGAACCGCACAGGGCGGCCCTCAGCATCGAACGACAGCACGCGGATGGAAGCCATAGCGACAGTGTGACAGAGTAACGCAAGCTGCCGCAGCAGGGGAAGGCGACTGTGCACGGATAGAGAGCAGCGGGCGAGGCTGGCGCTACGGGCAGGCGGCGCTGCAAGCGGTCAGCGCGACGGGAGGGCGACGCTGCGAGCGGGCAGCGCGGCGGACGGGCCGGGAAGCGGGCAGCGCGGCGGGCAGGCGGCGCTGCAAGCGGGCAGCACGGCGGGCGGGCGACGCTGCGAGGCGGGCGGGCCGCGAAGCGGGCAGCGGGCGGGCGGGCGGGCTGCGAAGCGGGCAGCGGGGCGAGCGGGCTGCGATGCGGGCGGGCCGCGAAGTGGGCAGCTAGCGGGCGGGCGGGCTGCGAAGTGGGCGGGCCGCGAAGCGGGCAGCGGGGCGAGCGGGCTGCGAAGCGGGCGGGCCGCGAAGCGGGCAGCGAGCGGGCGGGCGGGCTGCGAAGTGGGCGGGCCGCGAAGCGGGCAGCGAGCGAGCGGGCTGCGAAGCGGGCGGGCCGCGAAGCGGGCAGCGAGCGAGCGGGCTGCGAAGCGGGCGGGCCGCGAAGCGGGCAGCGAGCGGGCGGGCGGGCTGCGTAGCGAGCGGGCCGCGAAGCGGGCAGCGAGCGAGCGGGCTGCGAGCGGGCGGCTCGGCGAGGGGCGCGCGAGGGCGCTAGTGAGGGGCGCGCGAGGGCGCTAGCAAGGGGCGCGCGAGGGCGCTAACGAAGGGGCGCGCGAGGGCGCTAACGAAGGGGCGCGCGAGGGCGCTAACGAGGGTGCGCGCGAGGGCGCTAACGAGGGGCGCGCGAGGGCGCTAACGAGGGCGCACGAGGGCGCTACGAGGCTAGGGCACGGGGTAGCGTGGTAACCGCATGCGAGCGGTGGTGGGCCCTTAAAAAACGGTCGGTAGGTCCTAGGGACCTCCTGCTCTGAATACCATGTCAGAATCACTAGGCAAGAATGATGAACTAACAGAAGTTTGGGTACAAATATGAAACCCTAGTTGGGGTTGTACCCCATATTGGCTACCCCACTACAGCCTACAAGCATAATACAGTTTAACAGTGTAATGGTTAAAAAAACATAGCACAACGCGTATACATGTTTGAGCAATACTTACTAGGTATCGTTTGAGGGGCAGGCGGAGGTGCGGTAGTCGTGGCACCAGGTAAACTAGCCGCGAGAGCCGGAGGGCGCGCATTCGCTCTGTCGCCCAGGAACCTGTCAAACACGTCGAAAAAAATGGGGACCTTGGGAGGCTTACCCTTACCGGAGGGTTTGATCAAAAGATCGGCCACCTTTCGGTATTGGGCCTCCATGCGGAAAACCTTCGCCTTTACGGCGGCAAGGTTATGGCGCCAGCCCGGGTGACGAGCGCGTACTTGCTCGAAGAGCATGACGTCGCGATTCTGGCCTTGGAGGCGGTTTAGGCTACGGTACTGCTCGTCGAAATCGTGGCGGATCCATGCCAGCTGCATGACTTCCTCCGCATGCCATCCTTTTTTGTCGCTCTGCATCGTCGCGTCGTTGTCGTCGTCAGCCGCGTTGTCAATGTCGCAGTCTACTTCGCCTGCATCGAAGTAGGCAAGGGTGTCATCTTCGGCGCCCAGTGGGGTGTTCGGATCTGGAACACGAGCGACGATGGAGTCCAGATCAATGACGTCGAGACGTCGGGAAGCAGCAGGATCTACGGCAGCACGCCGACGTCTGTGAGGCGAAGGAGTAGGGGCGGGGGTGGCGGCCGTTGCGGTGGTTGTAGCTGTTGGCGCGGAAGGATTCGTGGGTGTGGCAGAGACACCAGTGCTGGTGTTTGCGGACATGGCTGCTTCTAGGTGGAGTGGGATAGCTGCAATGTTGCAATTTCAATGTGAACTGTCTACGCGCGATGCGCGAATTCTCACAAATGTGGCTGGGTCGACGTGGCATGGGGGTTGGCGGGAATTTTGGAGTGGTCCGTCAAGACGGCTTTGGAGTCGTTGGGGTATGGGGTGAACGTGCCACGATTCTAGCCACGTGGCCTCCATTCAGTACACGAAGGCTGTGGTGAGTTCGTTGTGGTACTGTTGCTACTCGTGAGTCGCTCGCACATTTCGCCAGATGCTCGAACGTGCGGGAAATCACACACGTGAATGTGAACATGCCGAAGCACGTTCACAACTAAAACTCGAGTCTTGTTCAAGTTTGCAGTTCGCATGTTGCCAACCCCACAGTTGACGAAGTTTCGCTCGTAGCTTTATGCGACATTGGCGAAACTGGTAACCACACAAAGTTCGCACTTTTTTTTGAATTTCAAATCCGACCTCACACGCCCTTACCCGGCTTGGGCTCTTGACTCGCGCTGACGAGCACCCTCGTGCGCACGATGCTAGCTGCGAGCGTCGCAGACTTCGCATCGTCGCTGTCAGTGATGAGGTGGACACACGCTCGCACATTCGTGCCAACCTGTTTGTTGATGAGAGTTCAGCTTAGGAGCTCAACTTTTTTCGATGCCGACATTGTACATAGACACACGACGTCCAGGCGAACGATTTGACGAAATTAACGAATAAGGTAACCAGCAGAAGTTCAACCAAAAATCCGAACGTCTACACCAAAAGCAACGAGCAACACACTACTCGATAGCACGCTCGGATTTCTTTAGAAGTTGAAGTCGCACAATGTCGAAGCTCATTATAACGCAGCACAACGTGCTACTGTTTGGGAAAGAGTACACCCTCTTTCTCGCTAGACTGTCATTGGCTATATGGGAGCCTGTGGCTCAACGCGCTTGAGGACGCGTTATAGTGGACTTTTGCACCAGTACGGTTTGACGAGGTTAGTTACTTTCGAAGACGGTCGTTTGAGCGATTGATATGGCTCGGTAGGGTACCCAGGATAACGAAATTCCGAATCACTCACCACCTAGAGACGGTTCGTCTAGGCATTCCAATTCCCGTTTCTGGCACATTGAGGCGGGTGAAGGGGGGACGCGCGGAGGATCTCTCCCCAAATCTCCGCGCGACGAATAGCTTCACGATTTCGACGTCCACACTCCCGACGGTGGCGCCTTGTTCGCGAAAACATTTCGAGCGAGCACGAAGTTGGCCGAGAGCGAGGTGAGCTGCAAATCCAAACAGCTATGTTCGCACGAGTGTTTATGCAGGTGAGCTATGGTCCAAAGTGGTGATGGCCCTGTAAAAAGTAGTGAGTAAATGGTTCAACGAGGTGAAGAGAATAATGCTCCCGTAGTGAATAACCCACCTTTCATTCCTGTTCCACAAGTTCTCATTCATTGAACATAGCTAAATATTCTGATGATTGCAACCTTAGGAACATTGGTATCAAATACAGCCTCCACATCGTGGAAGGAAATAAGTAGTTGTCAAAGAGAATATAATACAGTAAATAACAAACCCCTTTCCACCTGGCATGGCAAACTGTTTTGTAACTACAGGACAGCAGGCGAAGCAGGGCAACAGAGGGGCATACACGATGTCGGTTGGGAGTGAAAAGGGAGGCACAACAGGGGAAGATGGGATTGTGGAGTCTTCTGAAATCACGCTTCCCATTCAGGAGCAGTAACAGACGTTTTGGGATTGTACAGGTATCTCAGAACTCTGAGCTGGGAAAGCGGAACCAAAAAACACTATGAACAACACAAATACGGTAGTATAACGGCGCAGGACAACACTGGACCTGCACCACTGCAGTGCTCTAAGCACATCACGAGCCGCCACATGTACAGAACCAGCAGCTAAAACACACCCAGAAAGCCGTATACGTGTAGGGAGGTATACCTCATCTGTGCACATTTGGCCGCACGATGAATAACAAAACTCTCACCACGAAAGCCTCCTTAGGATTTCCATGGTTGTGAATTGGCATCAAACACTCGTTGTCCCATTATTAGTGTGTAACACCGTTGATCTGCTTTTGCAGCATTGAGTGAACCACGCAAGAGCGAAGTGGCAGACCCGTACCTGATTTTGTCGTTACGGTGCTGTTGCTGCCGCTGCCACTACCGCTGCTGTTGTTACTGTCACCAGTACCATTGCTGCTGCTGGCACCACCGCTGGGCAGGCTTGGTTGAGGAGGAGAGGCTAGGGGAGATTGCAAGGGAGCTGTGAATGGCAGGGGTGAATAGAATAAGGGCCAAGAAAGTCAGATGAGGGCAAGAAGACAAAGGGATCGAGGAGGGACAGGAGATGTCAAATGTTATTGCAAGAGAATCCGTTAGGAAGAAAATCAAGGCAGGAACAAACGGATGGTTTGGTTGGAGAAAAGGGCTAGAATATAGAAGGAGAGGCAGTAGGGCTGTAATAAAAGAGGGAGGTGCAGTGAGATGGAATAATGCTGACTCGATTCAAGAGCTCCTCCGCTCTTATCCATCCCAGAAGCCTTGGCGACGTTGAAGAGCTCTTGCCACTGCACTGTGCGATTAGACGGTGTTGTTGGTGGCGCGTTCGTGATAGTCGTGTGCGTGCGTGCGTGCGTGTGTGTGCGCGTGTGTTATATTGCAAGATCTGCAGACAACCACGCTCGTAACTGGTGAGCGTAGTGTGGTGACGTTACCAGAGGGTTGAAGGGATGGCGGTAATGCAGGAGCAGGAGCGGAAGAAGCCGTAGAGGTGGGAGACGGAGGAGGTACATAGGAAATAGGGGTAGGAGGTTGGGCTGGAGGAAGGGCAGGAGGTTCAGTGGGGGCGGTTGCAGGAGGTTGGATGAGAGGGGAAGGAGCAGGTGCAGTGGATGGAGCAGCAGCAGGAGGAGGGGTAGGGGGCAAAGTAGAGTTGAGATAGTCCCATGTGGAACCTGCATGGCCGGACGTTGAGGCACACAAGTGGGGGAAGCTTATGAGAAGGGAAGGGAAGAGAGAGCCGGAGGGAAGGGGGAGATGGGGCAAAAGAGCAGCGGACAAAGCTGGAAACCCTAATTAAAAAAAGAAACTAAATACCCCAAAACGAAACCTCGTCGTGCGTGTTTATTATCATTATTATTATAAAATATTATTACTATTATAATTATTATTATTATTACTATTATTATTATTATTATTATTATTATTACTATCATTATTGTTTTTATTATTATTATCATTATTATTATCATTATTATTATCATTATTATTATTATTATTATTATTATTATTATTATTATTATTATTATTCTCAGACACGACGCATGTACGTGTTCTGTTAAGTGCATACACACTTCAAACCTCATTCAGCCAACCGAGCACACATCAGCGCACAGAGGCTTACAGTTGATGGATCGGAAGTGCAGCTTCTGAGACGCGAGGTCGAACCACAGATAGTGGTCCGCTAGCCATTGCGCTGCCGATGCAAGAGGCGGGTGGGGAACAGAAGAGTGGGATTCAGGGAGGGAGGGAGCGAGGGAAGGAGGGAAGGAGGGAAGGAGGGATAGATTGCAAGGGAGCCAAAGGAGAGCAAAGGAAAGACGAGTATCTTGGGTGTTGGTGCTTGTGCGTGTTATAGAAACAACAGGTGATAGTTGAAACTTGGGTGGTGTTGGAAAAGTGCAGGTTTACTGCGCCCAACCCATCCCTCCACTGCTGTGTCATCCCTCCATGAGCTCTCCTTGCGTGCACAGTCCACTTACAGCCCGCAATCCCACTCCACACTAACAGTTTCCCACTCCCCCAACCTTTTTTCTCCTCCCCTCACTGCACTCACTGCCCTGGTACGCATCGTGCACAAAGTAATCTGGTAAATGCCCGGTTATCAAACACAGCAGCAGCGTCAGCTGAAGTGGCAATTTTTACTTCCAATCAACCGCCACCCAACCCACCACCGCCTTTCTCCTCCCCTCGCTGCACTCACTGCCCAGGTACGCATCATGCACAGAGTCATCTGGCAGTGGCACGGCTGCCAGACACAACAGCAGGTTGGCTGCTGTGGCCCCCTGGTGTGGGGTGGGATGAGGGGAGGGCGAGGGATGAGGAGAGGGAGGAAAGGAGGGGAATGGAGAGGGGAGGAGTGGAGAGGAGAGGGGAGGAGTGGAGAGGAGACAGGAGGAGTGGAGAGGGGAGGAGAGGAGTGGAGAGGGAAGGGGAGGAGATGAGAGGGGAGGGGAGGAGTGGCGAGAGGAGGGAATGAGTGGAGAGGGGAAGATTGAGGATTCAAGAAACGTGCATATCGGTCAGAAATAGCAGTTGAGCACGGAGGGGTCATTAACAAGTGTCACACGCAAGGAAAGGAAGCGAGCATTGTAGGAGCGCAAACATGAGGCGATTTACAAGAGCAAGACAAGAGGGGGGAGCAAGACGAGAGGAGGGAGCAAGACGAGAGGAGGGAGCAAGACGAGAGGAGGGAGCAAGACGAGAGGAGGGAGCAAGACGAGAGGAGGGAGCAAGACGAGAGGGGAGAGAGTGGGCGCACATCAAGCATGAGGAAAGTGGAGGGATGCACGTAGTAGCTCGTGTCTGGGAAGTCCAACACCACTGGGGGGAAGGTGTCGTTTGTGGCCTTGCTGGGGTGGCGCAGGGGAATGAGGGGACAGGGAAAGGAGGGCAGGGGAGGACAGGGGAGGAAGGTGGAGATGAAAATGAGGAGCGAGGGAAGAGGGGAGGGAGGGGGGTGCACGGGTAGTGGGAGAAGGTAGGGATGGGGATGTGGGGAGGAGGTTGTGGGTTAGTCAAGTGGATGGGGACGAGTTAGTACAATTGGGTTGGCGGCAATGCACGGAGGGAATGAGGAGACTTGAGAGGCAAGGAGATTAAGGCATGGGAGAGAAGAAAAGGGGGTGGGGGGGGGACGGGGTGAGGGAAGGGCGGGGGAAGGGGAGGGGGGGGGGACCAGAAAGAAAAACAGAACAAAGCAAAGTGAAACAATACAAAAACTCTTGCAAGAAGCTGAGCGCAGCAAAAAAGAGCAAGCACCTGAGCGTAGCGTAACAGCGGGAGGAAGGAAGGAAGGAAGGAACCACCTGACGGGAAGAGAGGCGCAGGCAAAGCCATCAACATCCTGGCGAACGATCTCCGGGTGTGAGAAGACAAGATCCACTAGCTGCTGCAGCAGGGGGGGACGCAGGGCGAGGTAGGGGAAGGTGGTGTCCACCACCACTCCCCCCCGGCCATCCTCGCTGGTGTTGCTGCCCAGGGATAAGCTGGCTGGCAGGAGTGTGCTGCCCACCCGCACCTGCGTCACGTTCAGGTAGTAGCGTGAACTGGCGAGGGGGAGGGAGGGGACGGGGGGAAGGGGGAGAGCGGGAGGGGTAGAGGAAGTGGAAGGGGGAGAGATGAGCGGTAGAGAAGGTGGATGGGAAAGGAGGGGAAGGAGAGGAAGAGAGGGATGGGGAAGGGGGAGATGGGAGTGGGGAGGGAGAGAGGGGGAGGGTGGTGGTTTGAGACGTCTCAAAACACTTCTTCATACATGGGAGGGAGAGAGGGAGAGGAGGGTGGTGGTAGGAGAGTGGGAGCGGGAGGGGTAGGAAAAGGGGGAAGGGAAAGCCCCAGGAGGCCGAGGGAAGGTTATGTGGATGCATCACAACAATGAATCAATCACGTCAAATTCGGAGGCGGAAAGGAAGCGGCAGTTATCTGTTTTAGACATATCACAATGCTTATGTGGATGCATCATAACAACGTATGAATGAAACACATCAGTGCATACAAGGGGCAAGGACACCGCACATACTACTCCCTCATCCTCTCGCCTTCTCTCACTCTCACCCTCTCAACCCTCCAACCCTCCAATCCTCTCACAAAATGCACCGTGCAGGGAACGTCACACCTGTTGGCAGCGAGCATGAAGGACGTGGTTTTGAGCTTGCCGGGGTGCGCGGGGTCTCCCAGCACCAGCGCACCCTGGGCTGTGCCGCTGTCAAAGCACAGAGAGAAGGACAGCGGCAGGGGGGGAGAAGCACCCTCCGCTGCTGCGGCTGCGGCTTCTGTGGGTGGTATTGCCTCCCCTGCCGCCACCCCCCCTGCTGTTTCTCCCCCTGCTGCTGCTGCTGCTGCTCCCCCTGCTGCTGCCACTCCAGCAGCCAAGGACAGCAGGGCCGCGGCGGTGGTGGCTGGTGGGGCACCAGGCAGAGGCGCCGCTGCACTGATGGCAGCGGTGGGGGAGGCGAGCTGGGCGGGGATGGAGAATGGCCGGGCTCCCAGGGCCAACACGCCATCCACACCTATGTCTGATGATGCCCCGCTGCTGCTGCTGCTGCTGCTGATACTGGGGGTAAAAGGGAAGGAAGGGATACGGAGTGGATAAGGGAGTAAGAAGAAGTATTTGGGGGTGATTTTGGCGGTGGTTGCCCCATACTGCTGTGCTTTGGGGGGCCGCCGAGGTTTCATGCAGGGGGGGAAATGGCAGACGGGAAAAACCATGTGACAGAAAGGAAATGGCTGAGCGCCGCATGGGTGGACTGGAACATCCATGTAACATGGCAATGGCAGCATGCATGCCACACCTGGGTGAACTCAACTCAAACATCTGGAGTGGACGGGGGGATGCAAGGGCAACATACCACACTGGGGTTTTCCTCCCACGGATCGGCAGAGGTAAGTGCGGAGGGGAGAGAGCTCACTTCGAACACCTTTGCTCTGCTTTTCAGGCTTGGTTTATTGAGGCCCTGTGCCTTGCGTGGTTGCATTGGTAGATGTCCGTAATGGTAACCACCACACAGGACCATCTGGGCGTGCCTAACCAAGCACATTGGTAACGCGATGCATCCGAACTAAAATCGCCTTCGTATTTCAAACAGCTGGAGTTTTTCCCGATGGGCAGCAAGTGGATTTCCAGGTCACATTCCAGCTATTTGGTGATGCATCCAGGCCACGGCCACCACAGGCAGGCAAGCCACAGCAAGTCATGCATGCACCGCGGAAGGCATTGCCGAGATGAGTTGGCCCGCACTGCCACCTGCTGCATTTGCGGCGCCTCAAGAGGGCTTACCCGAAGGTGACTCGAGCGCGGCGCAGAAAGGAGTTGGTGGAGAGAAGAGAGAAGAGGTCAGAGATGAGAGGGCCAGCACTGCCACTCGCTGCACTGCCGCTGCTGGGGTTGAATGCACACATGCCACATGCCGCTGCTGCTGCTTTCGCTGCTGGTGCTGCTGCTGCTGGTGGTGGTGATGGTGATGGTGATGGTGATGGTGATGGTGCGAATGCACCAGTGCTGCTGCTGTTGCAGGAGAACATGGAGGCTTGAGGGCAGGAGGGGGAGTTGCAGGGCACAGGGCGAGATGTGGCAGAGGAGGAAGGCTCAAAGACCGTCCGGTTCTGAGAGAGAGGACGAGGGGCGAGAGAGGAGGGGAGAGAGGAGGGGATGGAGGGATGCTTGAGCCGGTCACAAATGGCAGGAGAGTAGGACTCCTCATAATGGGTGAGAGGCGGAAGGGAAGTGAATACATGAAATTGGGGGCAAAGCAGGGGCTTGGGGAAAGCGACGAAAGAGCGGAGGAAAAACGGAGAGCGAGTGAGGTGAAGTGCAGTGCAGTGGTGGCGGAAAGCTGCTTGGATGGGTGCAGGGACGAGTGATTGGGATACAGGGATGGGGCGAGCGTGCGAGAGAGAGAGAGAGGGAGAGAGCACAGCGCAATGCAGGTGATTGGGAGAGAGAAAGAGCACCTGCAGGATGGCGGAGGGAGCAGAGCAGGAGGGGGCGCAGTTGCAGAGCAGCCAGGAGAGGCTGGAGAGCGTGTCTAGCAGCACCACAAACACCCGCGCTGGTGACCCCACCGTGATGCTCGTGTACAGCGGGCTGTGTGGGGGGAGAGGGCGAGAGGGGGAGAAGGGGAGAGGGGGGAGGAGAGGAGCAGCCAGGAGAGGCTGGAGAGCGTGTCTAGCAGCACCACAAAAGCACGCAGAGGCGACCCCACTGCGATGCTCGTGTACAGCGGGCTGTGTGGGGGGAGAGGGGGAGAAAGAAGGGGCGGGGGGAAATGGCGTAGGGGAAGGGGGAGCTTGGGGAAGGGAATGGGGGGAGAGAGAGGGAAGGGCTTAAATGAGAGAAGATAGGGAGGGAGGGGTGGAGAGAATGACGCAGTGGGAGGGGTGCTTGGGAACAGACTCGACGGTCTGATGGTGGAGAGAACAGAGGCGGTGCAGAGAGGGGTGCAGTGCAGGAGCTGACCTGTATTTGACGGGCGAGAAGACGCGGAAGACAGCGTTGTTGGTGGGCAGGTCACTGGAGCTCTGCACGTACACTTGCTGCCGCTGCCCATGCCACGCACAGCGAGAGAGAGAGAGCACACCAGGGATGGGGGGAGACGGAGATAGAAGACAAAGGGGAATGAGGCTCACTTGGGGGGGGGGTGTATCCCTACACATGGGGTTTTCATCAAACCCACGAATGAGATAAGGGATGGCGAGCACGAGGGGGTGAGCAAGCACGAAAGGGTGAGCGAGCACGAGGGAGAGGGGGAACAGCGAGTGAGAGAGAGGCAGACGCAACAGCAGCAAGTAAGCAGCTCCTACTTATCACAGCCAACTTTTCCCGCCCTCCATTCCTTCCTCACCATCCGCTTAGAAGCTCATTCCTCAGCATTTCCCTCAACTCTTCCTCGGCCCCACCCCCGCACACTCCGCCCTTCCCTCCCTCCCCCCCCCCCCCTCCCCACCCCCCCTCACCCCCCCCATGGCACACTCCGCGCCCTGCAGAAGAGGTGCGTGTGCAGCGGTGTGGCGGCACGCCTGTGGGGGCACGCCTGTGGGGGCACGCCTGTGGGGGCACGCCTGTGGGGGCACGCCTGTGGAGGCACGCCTGTGGGGGCACGCCTTCCCCCATGCAGCACTCACAAGGGATGCAGGCAGGGCGGCACTGCGAGCGCCGGCAGTGCGCTCATGCACTGCTGGTGCTGCTGCTGCACGGGCAAGGGGGGGCACGGCAGTGACACCAGTAATGTCAGGCATGGCAGGGAGAGTAAGGATGGTAGCAGGGATGGCAAGCAGGGGGGGCAGCAGTCGCACCGTTGCCAGTAGTGCTGCTCGCAGTGCCAGCAGCGTCGGGCAGAGGCTCTTGGTCGGAGGACAGCAGGCCTCGAGCACACGCAATGACACGTCCACATCAGTATCCACGTCACCATCCACGTCACCATCCACGTCACCATCTGCGTCCATGGTTCTCCGTGGACCCCAGTCCTGGCCTCTCTCTTGCCCTTGCACCTCTGCCCTCGCCCTCTCACCCTCGACCACTGCACCATCCTCGCCACCTCCCCCTCCCGTCCCCCACAC